CACTAATAGATGTCACTGCTGTTTCCACAGCTGTTTGTATATCTTTCCAAGCAACATCTGGGCCAGCCTCGTTTTCAGAACTAACTAAGTGTGACCTCAGTTGTTGCTGGAATAGACTTTTGGTTTTCTCATTACTCAATTCAATGCTAATGGGTCTTTTTAGTGTGGTTTTTCTGCATCCAGTGAGGCGCAAGCAGATGCGTGCCCGTATTAGGGCGTGGCCGGAGTCCAAGCAGGTACTCCAGAATGAGCGACAATTCTTCTACCGACCCTCTCCAACGATGACTGATGGTAATATGGTCTATTTGAGTCCATCGTCGGTTTGTTGCAGGGAGTCGCCATGTTACACGATATCAACCCTCATGTTTAAAATTAGTTTACTAGAAATAAACGATTGTCTGAGAACAGTTGCAGCAGGCGATCACCATTATCTGTTCGCTGAACCGGAATACTATAATACCCATCTTAATGTCTTTCTGCTTAGTTTAAGCTACCTACATGTGCCTTAAAGTCACCTGATACGAGTATTATGTCTGAGTGTTTAGCTTTATGAAAAAGTTCAGAAAACTTTCTGTAAAAGTTATCCTTCACTTGATCCGGGCTGCAGTCAGTGGAAGTGTAGGCAGAAACGACGAAAAGGCAACGACGTGTGTCCCCATCTTTTCGAGTTCTTATGGAGCCGTTTAGCCGAACAGCATATAGACGACTGTTAAAGGGGATCCATTTTAATAGTGCTTGTTCTGAGCTTGTACTTAGTGCTATGCCTGCACCTGCCAGTCCGCGAGAACTAGCCATCGGGTCGTCAAATACACGGAGGGCGTATCTCGTTGGCTCACCGTTTTGGCGAGGTGAGGTTAAATGAATGACCACACTAGGATCCTGTATGCGTGTTTCGGAGACACAGCACACATCAATGATACGAGATTCTAGGGTTTTAGTCAGGAGGCCTGCTGGCCGACTTGACACAGGATGCATACGTTGAAGACTCCAATGCATAGTTTAGAGCGAAGTTTCAGTTGACCTAGGACAGTATTTCGCGCACTAGCATCGTTGGTCATGGTGACACTTGAGGAGGAAGTTTAGAGTTGAAGGTCGAGGTAGGAGGAATAATAGGAATTGAAGAGGGAGATTGATTATGAGTACAATGATCTTGAGTGCTGTTAGGGGTATGAGGGCAGTTATCACTTCCCGGTTGCCCACACTGTGGAAGAATTTTTCTGGAGGTACCTGAAAAGGAAATTGGATTAAAGGTGGTCTTAGTGACCTGAGAGCGTGACCGCAGTGTCCAAGGGACAACTGCTTGAGGTCGGTCACACACGACCGTTTTTGAGTAATTTTCGTGTTAGCTCCGTACTTGTTGGGACCTCGCTGCGGGAGACAGAAGTCAGTGGGATAAGGCGAGGTGTGCTTTTTTAGGGTCGACCCTTTCCAACTCTACCCTTCTTTGTGGGGAAGCAGCATTTCTGTTTTGCTGGTTGTCTGAGGGAAACACCTTACTGCCGCCACACCTATGGGCTTTGGGGTTTCTGCTTTTAGTCTTACCGCTCTTCAACAGACCTAGTCTGGCATAGTAAGACCTTGAGGAACGATTGTTCCAGCCGGTATAACTCGATTGGTTCATCACGATAGGCAAGCCCGACCACCACGTCAAGGTAACAGCAACGGTCGTGCTAGCAGCATGAGCAATCTCCTTTTCTGATTTGTTCGGAAACACGTGAGATATCACTGCTTCAACTCCATGACCAGAGGGTCAGATGTAAAGACAACTCCAAAGCTGGGATCGAGGTGTGTTAAAAGAAGCTTTTAGCTGAGCACTGATTTGACCTTGTTGAAAGATGCTTGACATTTTACTGACCACTGCCAAGGTTTGCCTTTTGATGATAATTCATTCTGGTGACCTCTCGATGTATGTCATACAGAAATGTGATGTAATGACTAATTGATCCCTAGAATGATCTTAATGAAAGAACATCAGTTGATGCGGGCATCTTCTGAATGGCTTCTAGGTTGGCAGGATCTGGTCGGTGACCGTTCTTATCTAAGATGAAATCAAAGTATTTGATCGAATGAATGAAGAAGTTACACTTTTCTTCACGAAGTTGGAAACCATACTCCACCACTCGCTTAAGTACCTGATGTACTCGATCAGAAATGGCACTGTCAGTTGAACCTATAACTATGATATCATCTAGATAAGCTGCTGTCACAGATATACTTGTTAACATCTTATCTATCATTTGCTGAAAAATGGTAGGTGCAATCGTGATGCCAAACGGTAGGCGAATATATTGAAATAACCCTCGATGAGTGTTAATATTCAGGAGCTCTCTGCAATAATAATCTATTTCCACTTTCAGATAAGCATCTGAGTAGCCCATTTTCACGAAACATGTTTCACCATTAAGGCTAGCAAACGGATCTCCAAGGTCTGTTAATGGATACTGGTATACAACTAATACAGAGTTTAAACCTGTTGAGAAATCGGCACACATACTTCCTTCGAATGTCATAGTCTGTTTGGAAAGCTACTACCGGAGAAAGTGATTTTAGATATGGCTGGATTCATTGTGTGTCGACGACGTTTATATTTCTTCTTGGGTTGGGACGTATGATTCGGTGGACAATGACCTTCTTTATGTCCATGTTTGTTGCACATCTGAAATTTGTTCTTCTTAGGTGGGTAGAATCATACATAACGCCAACCACTACATAACCAAAAGGCAGCCCACACACAAATAAGATGAAATGACAATTCATACTGGTAATACTATTCTCGCTTCAATTAAAATTCATTTTTATTTTTTCATGTACTGCGTCACTTATCTATTCGCTTCCTTCCTCACTTTATGTATCCTCATTTTTCAACTTATACAGCAGCTCGCCTATGGTGCAAACTCGGTTCTGTCTAAACGTTCTTGAGTCACTGCCTGGTTGAAAATTGTATGCTACCACCAAGTACGAGTACTGAAGCAGTTTTTCTGAAACACGTGCACCATTCAAACTGGCTGCCTTCAACGTCCTCACACTTATTCAGGTCGGACAACAGATAGGGCTGGTTATTTCCTTGGAAAGTCTTAATATCGACGTTTGTTGTCTATCCGAGACCCGTATTTAAGACTCTTGTGAAGTACTACAAATGTACTCTCTATATGTCGCTCCGAAAAGCTTGTTTTACGTGCGTTTATCCGGGGACTCTGTGGCATCTTCGTCTGGTCTTGCTGACGTTGGTTTCGCACTAGGCGCTCGAGCTGAGGCAGCACTAATCGATTGGATCCCCATTAACAGTCGGTTTTGTGCTGTTAGACTAGAGAAGTTCCATCGAAGTGAGAGGAATCGGTGTGAAAAACGATGTCTTTTTGTCATCTCCGCCTATGCTCCAACAGATTGCAGCCCGAATGCAATCAAGGATGAATTCTACCACCAGTTGACTGTTCTCCAGAAAGTGCGTTCGACAGATATTTTAGTACTAGCCGGAGACTTGAATGCTCAGGTCGGGCGTCTAGGGACAGAAACGAGTCATTTAGGTGGCCGATGTGAACTTGTTGGTCGCAGGACAGATAACGGGGACCGTCTACTGCAACTGTGCACAGACCACAACCTGTTTCTGGCTAGCACTAACTTCCGGCACAGTCATCACCGATGTGCCACCTGGCGTCCTCCCCCCTCATCTCAATCCTGGACTCAGGTTGATCACATCGCGATCAGCTACCGCTGGGGTGGTTGTGTTCAAGACCGCCGCTCCTTTTGGAGTACCTATCTGGACTCGATCATTCCCTTGTTTGCGCTAATCTTACTTTACAGTGGTGGACAAATTCATCGTCCTAAACAGATTGATGTCAGTAATCTCGTTGCAACTTCTGTTGCAACTAAGTATCGAACCGAGCTAGCTTCTAGGCTAGCTACCATTCCACTGAAAAGTATAGATGAGCATTGGTTGTAACTGCATGTCGCCATGAAAATGGCGAGTAACGTCGCTTGCAACTTCGCGAAACGTCCCGCTTATAAGCACTGGGTTTCTTCAGACTCTTTACGACTCATTGAGGCCCGTCGGTCTACTCCGGGTGACCGTGAGTTTGACAACAAACGAAGGATATTACGTAAGGAAGTCGGGTAAAGCTTGCGTAAGACCGAGAAGCCTGGTGGTCGGAGCGTTCCAATGAGTTGGAAACATCAGGGCTGCCTTCAAGTTTTTGGACAGGACTGTTCTTTAGAATTGTCTATTGAAGAAGAGTGTGCCTGAGAAGTTTATTAAAATCCTAAAAGCCCTATATACATACACCTCAGGCAGAGTGAGGGCATATAACCACCTCTCTCCATTGTTCCACTCGAGCAGTGCGGTTAGACAGAGTTGCCCAATCTCATCATTCCCTTTCAAATTTGCTATCGATGACATTCTGGAAATAGCTCTGATATATGTAATTAATCGCGGTGTGGATCTGTTGCCTGGAGATAGACTTCTCAACCTTCAGTACGCGGATGATATTGTCTTACTGTGCGATAATGCTCAAGCCATGCAATCCGCACTTAATCAGTTGGCAATCAGTGTCCGTGGGTACGGTATGTGCTTTGTACCTTCGAAGTGCAAAGTACTTCTACAAGACTGGCAGGATCCTAATCCTGTACTCACCCTGGATGGTGTGCAGATAGAAGTAGTCTAGAAGTTCGTGTATCTGGGTAGCTGCATAAGTGCTGGTGGTGGCGTGAGTGATGAGATCAATGCGCGTATAGCGAAAGCCAAAACGGCTTATGCTAATCTGGGCCTTCTTTTGCCCAAGACTGGAAGGACCCTGATCCTGCATTCTGTGGGTAGTGAGCGGATAATAGTCGAGAAGTCCGTGTTTTTGTGTAGCTGCATAAGTGCTGGTGGTCATGTGAGAGATGAGATCAATGAAAGCCAAAGCGGCGTATGGTAATGTAGGCCATCTTCGGCGCTTATTAACTGTATATCAAACCTATATTCTTCACTTTTATATAATTCTCAACTCTTTTTTGCATAACAGGTATTCAACCCTGCGATAAAAATAGTCGGCAATCGTGGAATGGCTCAACTAGTTGGTGGTAATCTTGTTTCTGATCAAACAACAAGAACTTGAAATGCATCTGTGCTAGTGTTTGTTTGTGTCTATAAAACTTTTTAAACAAATCTATAGATATGATTCAACTTACAACCTATCATTTTCATTTTTCCCCTTATTTCTGTATTGTTTATTCCATATTATTATTCATATCTTATGGTTTTCACTGTGATGATTTAGTTTCGTGTAGTTGTCTTTTCTTTTTCTTGTTTGTTTATTTGTTCAACAAACACAAGGTCACTTGTTCTTTTTTAACAAAACACAGTGAATAACATAATAACGTTCTTCTCAGCTGTTGTTCTTTTTCTCTACTGGTTCCAGTGTATTATAGAAACCTCATAATTAACCAAATAAAATAGTAGTTGTAATGTATTGTAACGAATAGTCTTTTAAAATTTCGGTTCATACTTGGATTTATGTGACGAAAATAAACAAAAGACCAATATCTAAGGCATATTATTTATTTACTCATTGTATTTGTAGAGTTAGGTCTGCGCTCATATCTTGATCTTCATCGTTCTTTGTTATATTTTACAATTTGTAACAATAGTAAACTTTGTTTCTTTTGTACTTTTTCATATATTCATATAAGTTTGAAGTAGAAAAAATCATCATTGTTTAAACTGGTTTAATACAGGATTTTTAAAACAAACTGCCATGTATTTTGCTGTAGTGCATGCATGTATATCCCTTCTATTATACAATAAAGTTCTTCTATATACTACTTACTGTTTTTCTTTTTATTGGTAAGGTGTTTATCGAAGGTATTTACTTCGTTAGACTAATAAACATTTATAAACATTAAAACTGATTTATTCATGTAGTTAATTGAAGATTAATAAATAGCTCCCAGACCTTACCGACGTTTTTAGATCGGATCTTAAGCCCGTTGAGAAATATATACCATTACTTAATTCCAGTCGTATTCTACTGTATAGTTAAATTTAAAGGGTGCTTAACAATTGCATTATAAAACCTTAATTTCTTTCGTTTACTTGTCTTAAAACCTGTAGTGCGCTACTTCTGAAGTGATCATTGGAAATATAACTAACCATGTTTATCAACTCTGGATATTTATCTAATTCTGTTGTGGATATACGCTCTTAGAGATAACCTATGTTCTGCCTGACTCAATATTCGATGCTTATCCAAAAATTCTCTACCGTAATTAGATATACAAATGATATTGTTTGATTAGTTAAAGATGTTGACTAAATGTAGGACATAGAACGAATACTAGTCAAACAATACTCGTGTCAGACTTTTCACATCAAACAAAGAAGATGAGTCTGTTGGAGCTGTAAACCTTAATCGAATTAGGTATTATATATCCCAACTCACTGCCTATTACATAGATAAGCGATAGATGAAGTGTATTAGTGTTCAGACTGATAACACCAACTCCTCAGTTCAGTGATTGTTGTTCTGAACTATGTGGAAAGATGTAATATTCTTGATTGAGGCTCAAAAACAATTCAAATCGCTGGCCGAAGACAGGGTAATATGGCCAAAAACCAGTCTTAATGACCCAGATTTATTCTCTGTCTCAAACATACTATTTTACATCTTTTTTTCCTAGCTCCTTTCTGATTGCTGTATTATTGTGTTTATCGCTTACATATTGATTATTTCTCTGCACTAGTGAGGAATTCACTGACTCTGATTAGCTTATATTTGTAGTATACCTTGTGTAGTTTGGAGATTTGGTTGAGAAAATAATGTTTAACTCTTCGGATTCTCATAACATATTCTGTAGGGCTATGAAGGAATCATGTGAGAAAATTATACTTGAAAGTATTTCATTCATGCATTAACAAGCCATCTAGGTACATTGTAAAAATAGGATTAGTTTATTCATAGTTCTTTTAAAATTTTCTGTCAGATGTCTATGAAGTTTGTTTTTAACTTCGTACTAGAAAATTAATTGTTCTCAACACTAGGTGCATTATACTCAAATTATTATTGATAAAATCAATCTACTGACAAATTCGAATAGTCACTTTCTCTTACATCTGTTGCCCCTCGTGGAGGAGCATAGGCCGCCAACCAGCACTCGCCATCCAACCATCTCCTGGGCAACACTTTGCAGCTCTTTCCAGCTGTTATTCACCTTTTTCATATATGTTCTTTGGCCTTCCTCTTCTCAGCTTCCCTTCACAATTCCAAGTTACAACCTGCCTCGTGATGCAGCTTGATGATTTGCGTAATGTATGTCCTATCCATTTCCATTGTCTTTTCCTAATTACCTCTTCAGCTGGAAGCTGGTTTGTTCTCTCCCACAGAAGGCTGTTGCTGATGGTATCCGGCTGATGGTTGTTGAGTATCTTGCGTAGACAACTATTTATAAATACTTCTACCTTCTTGATGATGGTTGTAGTAGTTTCCCAATCGTCAGCTCCGTGCAGTAGCACTGTGTTGACGTTGGTATTGAAGATTGTGACTTTGCTATTAGTTGAAAGTTGTTTTGAGTTCCATATGTTCTTCAATTGTAGGGATGCGGCTCTTGTTTTCCCAATCCTCGCATTTACGTCTGCATCTCAAACTCCTTGTTCATCGATGATGCTTTCCAGGTATGTGAAGGATTCTACATCTTCCTAGAGTTTCGCCATCAAGTGTGATTGGATTGGTGTTCTCCGTGTTGTATTCGAGGAGCTTGGTTTACCCCTTATGAATGTTGAGGCCTATGGATGCAGAGACTGGTGCTATACTGGCTGTCTTTATCTGCATTTGTTCGTATGTATGGTATAGGAGGGCTAGGTCATCTGCGAAGTCGAAATCGTCTAATTGGTTCTGAGCTGTCCATTGTATGCCGTGTTTTCCCTCGGATGTTGAGATCTTCATAATCCAGTCGACCATCAGAAGAGAGAGGAAGTGGGAGAGTAGACACCCTTGTCTGACTCCGATTCTTACTTGGAATGCATTTGTCAGCTGTCGTCCATGCACTACATTGCACTGTATTCCGTCATATGAGTTCCGGATAATGTTGAAAATCTTCTCAGGAACTCCGTAGTTTCGACGAAGCTTCCGTAATGTACTCCTATCTACACTGTCAAGTGCCTTTTCATAATCAATGAAGTTGATTTACAGTGTCGAGTTCCACTCAACTGATTGTTCGACGATGATCCGTAGTGTTGCAATTTGGTCTGTGCACGACCGATCCCTGCGAAATCCAGCCTGCTGAACTCCAAGTTCAGCGTCTTCTGTGTCTTTCATCCGGTTCAGCAACACTCTGTTAAAGACTTTCCCTAGTACTGAAAGTGATGTAATGCCTCTGTAGTTTTCATATTTGCTCAGATCTCCTTTCTTTGGAATCTTGATGAGGTGTCCTTCTTTCCAGTCCGTCGGCACTTAATCCTCCTCCCAAATCTTCTTGAATAGAGCATGAAGCATGTTTGTAGTTACTTCGATGTCTGACTTCAGTGCTTCAGCTAGTATATTATCAGTCCTGCTGCTTTCCCGCTCTTGATTTGTCTGATGACCATCGTGATTTCTTTGGTCGTTGGTGGAGTGACATCTATAGGATGATCTGTGTGTACTGCTTCGTTGTTTGATGGATTCATTGGAGCCGGTCTATTCAAGAGTTCCTCGAAGTACTCTACTCATCTGTCCCGCTGTCGTTGAGTTTCAGTGATTGGTTGTGGCAAGCCCATTTGGCTACTGTATCATTTATCTAGTTATTGTAACTCAGACTCAATTCACTATGTTAATTTCGGTGTGTATGATCGAATGCATGTCTGTACATTAACTCTTAAGCTATTTTCCTATTGGTTGCAATGTGCAGATAATCGATAATTTATCCACACCCGATTAACTCTCAAATATATATGGATTTTTAACAGACTCACTCACTCTCTCTGTTTCATCGTGTGCTTGCTCATCGTGCGCTTGTGGATTATTATTATTCATTAACAATAAACTATCTCTATAACTGGTGTTCAGGCTTTTTAATAATCTCGAGTAAATTCGCAATTCTACTAGGAGATTAAGCCTAGCTAAAATACTCAGTTACGGGATATTATTATTTGGAGTCAGATATTGAGGACATTATCCATAACATATTGGTGAACCGCTTTTAGAACACACACCATTCCTCTACGAATTCTGCTGCATACTCTCCAAGCGTATCTTAAAGAACTTCACATTGGAATTACTATTACAATTCTTAACAATTCATTAACAGTCATAATAAATCCATCCATAGCATTGTTCCTTTGGAATTATTGCTGTATATTCGCATATTTAAACCAAAAGTGACAGTTTTTCTTTTCGGTGAGTCTTATATATATTTCTTGTTGTTATTTTTGATTTCTCTTCATATTGTATATTACAATCCTCGGCTTATTATTACTATTGCTTCTTCGTATCATGGCACTTGATAATTCGCTAAGCCTTTCATCTAAATCTATTTCCGTGGGTGCCATCTCTGTACCTTTACCTACTTTTAATTCACGAAAGGCTGAACTCTGGTTCGCTCGTTTAGAAAGCTTTTTTGTAGCAAACAAAATCACAAACCAGAGTACGAAATTTAGTTATGCAAATTCACTGCTGCCAGATGACGTCATTGAACAAGTGCCGGATGTCATTTTTAAGCCGGATCCTGACTCACCATTCGATTGTCTAAAAAGAGAGGTCATTCGTGTCACATCTCTCACTGACCAACAGACAATCGATCAACTTTTAGCCAACGTCGAGCTAGGTGACAATACACCGTCACAGTTAAAACGCCACATGACAAACTTATTAGGAAGTCGTACAGTAGACAAACGTCTACTATATCAATTGTGGCTCAGACGTCTTCCTCAAAACATTCAACAGATACTAGCAATGGGAGACGAAGACGTTGATTTTGATAGGCTAGCAGACATAGCCGACAGAATTTACGAACGGTCCAAGACTCACCTTGTATCTCAAATCCAATCAAGTTCAGCTGACGAGATCGCCGAGTTACGACGATCAGTTGATATCCTTACGAAACAGATAGCTCACATCCAATTATTGAATGCCTCCCACAGCAAGCGTAGAAGAACATCCACAAGCCGTAGACGACGTAGTCCAAGCACTACTAGACACAACATTTGCTGGTACCATAGAACATATGGCAAACAAGCTAGAAAATGTATTCCGCCTTGTAACTTTGCAAGCACACAGAAAAAGGGACGTCAAGACCGCAGGTTAATGACGACTGCACTCACTGACCACAAACTTCAAGACAGTCGTCTATTATATGTTACAGACAAAAGAACCGGCACACAGTTTTTAGTCGACACTGGGGCAGAGGTTAGTGTAGTACCACCTACTGCACTCGAGAAAAACACACCTGACCCCAAACTAAAATTACAAGCTGCAAACAGGTCTGACATCAAGACGTACGGCAAAAGGCGGTTGCAATTAAATTTCGGTCCTAAATCTAATTTTTCCTGGAGTTTCATCATAGCGGACGTCCTCGTTCCTATAATCGGCATTGATTTTCTGCAATTCCACAAAATACTGGTAGACGTCAGAAATAGGAAACTTGTCCTTGCCGAACAAAGTAAAGAAATTAGAGGAATTATATCAAATGAGACTTCCATACATTTATTAGTTAAACCTCATCAAGAGAACGACAAATACGTCAATTTACTTAATCAGTTTCCAGATTTATTACGACCGAGTTTCAAACACGACAAACCGACGCATACCGTCGTACACCACATAAAGACAGAGGGTCCACCAGTGTTCGCACGTCCAAGACGCCTTGATCCCTCTCGTCTGGCTATCGCAAAGAACGAATTCAACAAAATGATTGAGTTGGGCATCATACGCCCCTCCGATAGTCCGTGGGCATCACCGCTTCATATGGTACCTAAGAAAAACTCTT